AAAATATTTTCCGTGGAAAATTTTGACTATCAAACAGTTGCAAAAGATGGAAAATGGAAAAAAACATGAAAATTGAGACTAATCAAACGCAGCCTAAGATATCATCAATAGAAAATACTGAACTAAGATTTTCAGGAACAAACGATCCAAACGAAAAAATTGTAAGATATAACCTAAACAAACAGCTAAAAGATATATGATAGAGGCTATCTGGCTAATCAAATCGGTGTTTTTCAATTTTCTCCCAATTTTCCCGAGAGAAGATAATCAAATTTCTCCTTGTATGTTGTTGCCACTACAGCACTCGAACTTTCTTCCGAGACCACCAAGAAAACCCATCTACTTTTCTTGCCGTTCGAGTGGAATCAACAGCTTCAACGATAAAAAATGGAGGACAAAATTAATCCGAGGCCAAATACTTCTGAAAAATCTCAGTACATGGGGAATTGGAGGCCCTTGTAAATACTTTGTTCAAGTCTTCGAACAAACCCAACTTATTTCCGCCATCAGGTTACCTCTCCTTACAAATTTGTTATATTATTTCAATATTTGAGGTCGATTGTAGTATTAATGGTTGTCCAGGAACGGAAATTTGCTTAGGCAGTGGACGCAGACGGTTCGCTGGAAGATTTTTTTTTTTCTGGTTACCATCTTAAACTAACAATTTTGTTAAGAGGAGAAGTCAAGTCCTAAATGCTGGTTATTGTTCTTATACTTACTATTATGGCCATTAACATCCTTGCAAGATGGTGTGCTTGTTTGAGCACACCCCAATCTTGAAATCAAAATCCTCGTTTGAGCTTTTGACAAGCCAAATTGCTCCTTTGAATTTAATGGACTCTTATACAATTTAAAGACTTGGTCTCCATCTTGAAAGTTAAACCTTGTTGAGAGAAGAGCCCAAGCTGTTATATATTGGTTAATATTTTAGCCCATGTGGGATTTTAACCTTAGTGGAAATTTGTAACGCCCCCAATAAAATTTTGAGGTGTTACAGCTATCATTTAATAATCATACATAAAGCGAAAATATTTAAATTGAAGATATAAACTTTAATAAAATTTAAGATTTCATAACATCCAATTAAATTAATCCAAAACATTAAATCAGAAACTTTAAGCATTTAATAGAAATCTACGAAATACTAATCTCTAAACATAACAAAAAAAAATTACTGATGGTTCCCTTGACAAAGTTTTATTGGGCAACCCACGCACCATTCAGCCACCATCCACGTTGAACCGATCTAACCTGAGAAGTTAAAATTTTGAATGAGTGAGGATGTTAAACCCAGTAGGATACGTGCGTCTAAAACAATA